GGAATACATTGCTTGACAACTCAATCAAGGCATATTGCAGGACCTGCACTGAAGCACTTTGCTTTGCTTACTGATCCTGATCTTTTCTGACCTCACTACTTAAAAAATAATGCCTGGTAAATTTCAAGATAGAAATATTTCCTCTGGAAAATTCAGACTGAAACATCTCAGCAGCCGTCAGTGCTGCTCTGCGCACTTTGGTTGCCTGGGGAGCTGCAGCTTTGGTTGATTTAGCAGAAATTATTTGACCTCCCCACTTCAGCCCCCCAGAACATCTCCTGGTTTGAGAAACAGGAGGATTTTCTTATCGCTGGTGAAAGAGGAAAATTCCCAGGTACACAAACAGAAAAACAGCACTGGAGATGGATCAGATTGCTTCCCCCCCCGGCTTTTACATGGCTGGCAGCAGCTCTGTAATACATCAGATTCAGTTTCCCCTGGACCTGCATGGGAACTGATGTGAGCACGACCCTCAGTGCTATGTTGGGCCCTCAGGGCTGAGGTTTTCAGAGGCAGTGACCCAAGTGATGCTGGATGACAAACCCACCGCAGCTCCCAAATCCCAGGTTTGCACCTCAGGACCAGCAATGCAACCCTGCAGCCCTTCCTTCCTTCCATGAGAGATGGGTTTTGGGCTCAGAAATAAGGATTTACGTAAATGTTGCTCTTTTATATAAAAGGAAAAAACAAACGTAGGCTTGCAAACATCGCTGAATGGCATAATAGTATGTAATCTGCCAGAGTTTTCAACACAGTGCTACAGTGCCTATCTTAATTGTGATAAATTATTTCAAAATGAGTGGGCGTCAGATGAATTGATTGAAAGACTGCAGCGTTACCACTTGCAAAATCTCTTCTAATGATGGACTTCTTAAGTTTTGGGTTTCATGAGGCTTTCAGTCCATGAACTCCCCGCTGGGGATCCTTTCGCTTTCTGTTCCCATTCACAGAGGAGCAGCTGCTGAACTGCCCAGCCCAGTCTGGCAATAAGAGCTTCCAGGAGGCTGAACAGCATCCTTCAAAATGAAGCAAACAGCCACATCCAGGAGATGCAGTCAGTTAGGAGGTTTTGTACACTGAAATGCCCTAAATGAACATATCAGGCCACAGCAGCACACTCTCTGCTTCAAGACAGTGGCAATTTGATTCTTCTTAACTGAAAGCAACACTTAGAGGACCCACATGTCAATTTTGACTGAAGTAAAAACTTCCCAACTGTGGTTTATGGAGTCATTTGGATGTCGTATCTCACTCAGGCTCTGGGCTGCTCTCCCTGAACCAGTTCCAGCGTTGCCCCTTCAGAGCCATGTGCAGCCCCAGCAGGGGATGGGCACTGCAGAGCTGCTCCATCCCTTGGTTCTTCCCAACCCCATTTGCAAGCTACCAGATGCACATACCCAAATATTCTGACTTTGGGACCACTGCAATATGCTGACATTTCTGTGTGACCATCAGTGGCAGGAGGTTGTCTTCCCAGCAGAAAAAAAGCCAGCCACGGACCAAAGGAAGCTAAGGAGTATCTCACCACATGTGGCCAAAAAGAGGATGTTCATCCCTTTCCACTTCTCTCGCCAAACCATTTCCACCGCCCTGTTGGAGGTGACAGTTGTTTTCCCAGCTGTCCCCTCAGGAGCCATGGTGTCAAGCCCTCTGATTGAATTACTACAGATAATTTATAGGGAGGTAAAATGGAACGAAAAGTAAAGTAACCAGAAATGAGATTATTTTTCAAGGTACATTTAACTTACTGTGACATTTGTGAGCAAGAACCTTTAACAGAAACAAGCAAGGCCCATTTGTCTGAGAGTTTAAATATTTAATTCCCAAGAAGACAGGCACAATTTCTCTGATCGTAATAATTATTTTAGACTAGATCAGAAAGAGAGAGAGAAGCTTCGAGCTGGTGTAATAAAAAGGTCTACCAGGACAAGCAATGACAAATGGGACATGTGCTGGAAAACCCCACAGCAACACAGGGGTGAGTGGCTCAGGGCAGCAGGGATGGAGCTCTGGGTACCAGCACTTACCTCCTCATCCCATCGATTGCCAGTTCTGCAGCCATGGGCAAGCCAGGTTGTTTCCCCTTCCTTCTGTCCTTTCTTTTAGGGCACAAAACCTTTACAGCAAAAGCTGCAAAGCCTACATAAGCCCTATACCAGAGCAGTGCTCGAGTCCTTCATTTGACTCCTGGTTTCCAAACATAACAAAAACAGGCACTCAGGAGGAAAGCATTTAGCCAAATTGGTTTTAATTACCACAGAAGTAGCTGGCTTAAGTCTGAAGTGGGTGCATGGGAGTTCCTCATCTAATCCACAAGGTTTTGCTGATGCTCTGCAGCTGGGCAGAGCTTGCAGCTGGTGCCTGAGGCAAGGCAAGGGCTGAAGAGTTCGTTACCAGCCCAGTCCTCCTCTGTCAGACCATTAAGAATAATATCTCCTCTGTCTCTTCAAGTGAGATTTATATAGATTATATTATTTGTGAGTAATTAGGAATAGGAATTAAGTTTGAATAGATTAACTATCTGCAATTATTCTCCCTGCACTTACACCAGGCCTGAATGCTAATCTGAACGATGCTCTCCTTCCTAACAATGAAAAGGAAATGCGTTTGGCTTTTTTCTATCATTAAGGTGGCCTAATCCAGGTTTCTGTGCCAAGGCCCATGGCTCGTTGTGCAGAGCTCGTTACATAGGGCCCACTGCTGGGGCAGTTTTCATATCAGGGTTGTGGGGAACAGATTCAAAGTACGCAGATGGTGCCCAACCTGCAGAAGGTGACAGCAGGGCAGAGGAATTTTAGTGCTTCTGAGGAAAGAGGAAGTGCATTAATAAATTAAAGTTAAACGCAATGGATGGATGGCTGTGCTCTCTTCAGAAAAAAAAAGTCACTTTATCTCTAAATCAACCAAATAGAATCAACTGTTCTTTCCACACTAAATGTGATCCTGCTCAGCTTCACTTTGTCCTTTGATCAGTTAAACTCAAAAGCTAAATAGCTAAATTAAACCCCTGAATTAAACAAGGGAGGTGCCTTCAGCAGCACACTCAGAGATGCACATCCTTGCTAATCTGAAATCAGGCAGCCACAGGACAGACTTCCAGTGTTGCAGACCAATGCTATAGACTGACTTCCAAGAAGCAAAGCCATCCAGCCATGGATCAGACCCTGCACCTGTCTTAATTTTATCAGTTTTGCACAGTTAGAAACAGTTTCAAAGAGGAGACACAATGGCAGTCCCACACTGCGTGGGGACCACAGAGCCCAAATCCAGCAGACCTGCCCATGCTGGCACTGGTGCACACATGGGCTCTTGCATCACCGTGTAAAAATCCCAAAGGGTCCTGGGTGGGAGGATCAGCAGCACGCATAGTTGCTGCCCCAGCAAAATATTTTTGCCAGTTCTTTGGATTTGCAAGAGGATCAGAAGCGGTAGCATTGCCAGGAACTTAGCTCTGACAGCACTTCCAGGCAGTAATAATTATTCTGACCTGCTTACATGGGACCATCCCTTACGCATACAGATCAGGATGCTTGCAGCAGTTGGAAAGAAACCGTAGCTTTTTTTCCTTGACAGGCAACCAGAATGAATTCCACTGCAACAGCAAGGATAGCAGTCTGACTACATGTACAAAAGAACTCAGTCCATCAGACAAGTGGTTAGAGCAAAGGCTACCATGTTGTTCACTATCTAAAAGGTTAATAAAAACCACTCAGCAGGAAGATAATTTTTATGTTTTATTAATTGCCACATCTTGATTATTTTACTACTAATTTATTTTTCAGATTGCCCCTAGAAGCGTTCTTTGATGCACTGAGGTTATTTGTGGGTTCTTTGTGAATATTCCCAGGCAGCTGCTGAAAAACAAGTACACTGAATGGAGCGAGCAGAAGGGTCTGTCCAAAATGGAGAACAATAGAGCAGAGAATCAAAAAGAATCAAAAAATCCAGGGGAATTTTAGTCCGTGCACAATAAAGAGGGCTTCTGGTTTAACACTATCATCAGTTCTTTTCTGGGTTAACACTGAAAATTCAGTCTAAAATAATTCATTGATTCAGTAGTAGCAAGAACTTGGCGTTAGGAAAGGAAGGATGCAGCGAAACAGAAATTTCTGTTGGGAGAATGCATTCGATACCTCCCAGCCATCCAGAAAGCTCTTGGGTGAGCTGTGAAGCCCCCAGTTGGGCTCTCTGCCACTGAGCACAGTGAAGCTGTTACTTGACAGGTGACACCTCCATGCTTAGTGGTAGCACGTGTCTCCAGCCCATCGCTCCACATATCAATCATCACAATGGACTGTGCTGCTATTTGCATCCAGTTTGATTTATAACCCACTGAAGTCAAGGGAAAGACCTGCCTTCAATTTTAGTGATTGTAGATAAGCTCCTAATTTCACGCTTTGTCCGAGAAGCAGATAAAATGGATCTGAGAATCGTTTTTCCCTTTGAAAATTAATCTTCTTTAAACTACTTCAAGATGCAGAATTATTTCTAAAATGCCCCACAATAGAAGTAACTGGTGTACTTGAAATAAATGGATTTTACAGTAATCAGATTCGTCAGCCTGGCTTTTTATCCTGTTTATTGCCCTGTGAATTCCTCCATCACAAACAGCAGCTCGTACAAATACCAAAATAAGTCACTGTCAGCAAGCTCAGAGGAGCTGAAAGATTTGCTGTAATCATACAGCCGGCGCTCAGCAGCACCTGAAAATCACAGTGCCTTCCGTGTGTTTATCTGATTCAATTACAAGGTGCTCTGAGGAACTGAAAACACTTTCCAAACACACTCATGCAAGAGTGCCAGGATGCTCAGTGTTCCCCAGCCTGTGGTGCCAGCTTTCTCATCTGCAGGGTATGGTGGCTCCGTGGAGATGGGATGGATCCCACATCTGCCAGGAATCCTATAGCAGCACTTGAATGGATTTATTAAAAGTAAGCATATAATTAACAGATCTTCACTGCAAAACGTGGTTTGCTAAGAGGCACAATGTGTCAGGAAGAATCTGTGTCCAAATATCCTATCTTGATCATTTTCCAAGGGGCAGAATGGGAGTGAGCCGTCCAAGCAGCCATCCTGACATCTGGGGAAGGAGGCAATGTTGGGCTTATGCTTTTCGGGCTGAATTCAATCTCCACTGTGAAACAGAAGTGATTTTCTAGGGAAATACAATTTAATCTCAATACAGAGTGTAAGCTACACCAAAATCAGAAAGTTTTGTGACTGTATTTCACAAAAAAAAAAGTTGAGATACTTTATTAATTACCTCTTGGGTGCAGGGTGGGAGATCTCTCGGAAATCCTGAAAGCTCCTTGGGGAAATATGAGATGTGCATTTCTTTCCACTCTGTTGGAGATACATGCTTACACTGAGACTGAGGTTTACACCTGGAAGATGACATCATAGTCAAACAGGCTCTGCAGAGCAGCTATAACCTTCACTAGGCGTGTGCACACTTCAGCTTAGTCTCTTTCTCCTCTTTCTGACTCATCCCAACACAGGGTATGGCTTCGGACCATGCTCTGTCTTTGCACAGGAAACCATTGTGCTCTACACAACAGAGTCCATCTGTTTTTCACACCTTCCTCCTGAAAATGTCACTGAAAGTTTATTTTTCCTCACCTGCTTTTTTTTTTTTTCAATTTACTTTTTATTTAATGCATCTACGTTATCGTATCCATTGAGGAAGAAGAAGTAATATCACATGATAGGTGTGCTAACGAACAACTGGAATTCATCAAGTGGACAGCAATACATTTAGCAAGCATGTTTGTGAACAACCCAGAGATTGAAGCATGTTTGCCGAAAAGATCTATTGAACAGCTAGGAACAAACAAATTAATAAAAATCTAAACCCAGACCTCGCATGTTAATGATGGAAGGAAAAGCTGTAAGCCCATCAATAAGCCATTAAACACGATGACATGGACTCATTCCCAGCATCTCAGCTGGCCTCTCTGCTGCTCGTGCTCTCACTCTGAGGTGGTGCATGTGGGATATTGTTGTCTTACCCCAGGGATCCCAGAGCCCTGCTACCTTGCACTGCTGCACATCAGGATGCCTTCCCCTGGCATTGCTTGCAAAGGAAGGCACTGAAATATCCTCTCCTCTTCCATCCTGGAAGGAATATTTTTATTATTATTATGATTGTTTTGAGATGAAATGGTTTCATCTCATGCACCAGTATTTTAGGGAACCAGAAAGTTGCATGCAGCATTGCTTTAGAGCCTCAACATTTGTGTGTGCAATTTCTTTTGCTTCAGAATGAGAAGAAAACGGAGGGAGAATTTCCTGCATGAGTGAATCCAGCTCACAGCCAAGTCCTAAGCACGCGGGCAGATACAAGGAGATTTGGAGAGGCTTTGACATTCTCATAACAAGAGCAGTATAAATCCCTAAAGATGACTGATTTCAGGAGAAGAATTCAAAGTATCCACTGGTGTGAATCCATCTGCTGTAATAGAGATTTTCTTCACTTAATAGCATGACCCAAAATGGCACCGGTCTGCACTCAGCATCCTGTGCAACAGAGATACAAAAAACCAAAAACTTCTTCCCAGTGTTGGCAAAAGGCTGACTGCGCTAATGAGGTGAGATTCTGTATTCTCCAGGGCAACCAAGAAATTATGTTTAATTACAAGAAGAGAGCATCTCTGCTCATTGAATACAGTGCATCGCAAATGGGAATGATTCACTTTACTCGACTGACCTGAGTACAGAGCAGGGCAACCCAAGCTGTTATCCCAAGGCTGTTATTCCAAGCCAGAGGATAGAAATCCTCATTCATCCTAAGGCAGGTACCAACTACATGCCTCATCTGCAAACAAAACCATTTGCAAAGGGATCAGACTACAAAAACAACATGAAAGGGGTTCTAATTCTCTTTCCAGGAAGGCCAGCGATGTTCATTGACTGAGACAAAAATTTAGAAGATGATACACTTCGTAGTAACTTCTGGTTTTCTCCTTTTCAGACATTCTCAGAAATGTCACAGAGACTCTTCAGAGCACATAGCAGTGAATGGTGCTCAATTTGCAATGCCTGTACAAGTGCTTCCTACCCCTAAACCAAGTGAAGGAGTTTTGACCCCAGCTCTGCCAGGGGACCACATCACCCTGGGCACAGCCTTCTTCCACAGTAACTGTGTTCTGGTTTCTTGTTCTGAATGAATAAATGCACCCCCATATCAGGGCACTGCAGCACGTTACTATAAATCCTCAGTGCCCATTCTTCAGTGGTACATGGGGAGGATGTCATGCTGGGAGCATTAAGCTGCTGAATTGCATGCCTGTGTCACGGAAAGGAAAGAAAACAGAATTGACAGCAGATCTGCTCTTCGTTGAAGCAATGAGGCTGCCCTAATTAGGGCTAATTGCAGCTTTCCATCACGTTAAATTGCTATGCAGAATGATTCAAGTTAGTCCATCAGCAAGTTGCACTGTCTCTCTCCCTTCTCCCTACGCGGAATGTTAGATGACACATGTTTTTTAATGTGTACAAAATGCAGAAAGCACTGCTCATGGGCAGTGGCAAAGACAGGACACACTGTGGTCTGGAATGGGCAGCAGCTCATTAGGAGCTGGTTACAGGTGCAGACAGCTCCATTAGTGCTCAGCTGAGCTGCAGCATGCCTGGGAGGGAAGCAGAGCCCTGCAGCCTGGTGAGGGAAGAGTTTGGGGCAGGAGAAAGCCGTGCTGGCTCACCAGGACTTGGGGCTGGGGGAGTGCTGCTGTACAGCCTGCATCTCTCAGGTATTCATGGTAAGTATGTCTGCTTTTCAAGAGAATTGGGGTTTTGCTGAAACACATCAACATCTGAAACCTTCCTACCTTTTTTTTCCCAGAAGCACAGTGCTTTCCCAGGCTTCCTCGTGCAGAACAGAAAGGATGAGTCACTCTTCCATCATCCTCCAAAACTTCTCAGAAAGAGCTGACAACACCCTGCTGCTGGACACAGCAAAAGAAATTCCACCCACAGTCCATTTCCAGCTAGTTCTGACTAACACATACATGGCTAACAGGGGGACCTGAATATGCAAGGCCATGAGCATCAAAGCACAGTTATTTATAAGACACTATCTTTTCTAGGCATGCAGACAATGTAATTTAAGACCAGGCAAACATCTGTTGGCAATTGCTGCTCATGGCCTGGGTCTGTTCTGGCTCAGCTCCACATGATACTCCTGGCAGGAACTTTCTCCTCTTTGCTCCTCTTTCCCATCAGCACTCATCATCCTGAGACAAGAACACAGCTTAATTATAGGTGTCAGCAAGAAGAGATGTAGGCTTTGCTTTCTGGCAGGATGGCCAGCTTTGCCTTTGTCCTGTGCATTTGGTCTGTAGCCAAAAGTGAAATCAAGACAGAGAGACATGATTTTTATTTAACAATGGATGATGTAGGTTCAGTACGAACGCATTTTGCCATAATTGCTCTCTTAATTTGTGATGGCTGTGCAGCAATAGGATTTTAAAATGCCCAGGCAGACCATGGGAGGCCTTCAGACTGCCATAACACCGGTGACTGCTGTCAGCAGCTTTGCTCTTATGCTACTGCCAAGGAGAAAATGAAATCAACCCCTACAATTGTTGCATTGACTCCATGTTAACCTTGCCACTCCCATAAACATCTTGTGGGACTGATTTCCTTTCAAAGACCAGCTTGTCAGTATTAAGACACCTGATTTAAACTCTTTGCTTTGCTTATTCTCAGTCCCCCAGCTATTAGTAGCCTCTCTCGATAGCCTTTGGAAATGAAAGAGCCCCAATTCCAGGCATTTCTTTGCCAAAAATTCAACTGATTCTACAAGTTGCTTATTCAGTTCACTGCCTGCCATGTGGGTACAAATATCTCAGGTGGCTTTTTGTGTTCATGGAGGTGAGCGCAGAGGTGGATATGAGGTTGGACAGATTTTCATTCTGACAACACTGAGCCCCGGCCCATTTAGAAAAACAATTCCCAGACTCACACCCAACAGATCTATTAGCCCAACAGATCTGGTACAAGTGGCCCCAGTTCAGTCAGATTTGACCTCTGAGCATTTGTACTGTGGAGACTAAAAGTGCTGCTTGAGTGAGGTTTTACTTGGAAAAAAAGTAGTGCAGATCCTTCTGAACAAGGAAAAAGAGGTTCAGGTGGTGAACACACATGTGTCACCTTCACTTTGAAGTGTCCTCGATGCTCTCTGTCCCCTCACACCTTGGATAGCACTGAAGTTGCTTCTATTGTGCATGGAAGCTGTTCCAAGCCTCAAACTACAGCCACTTTTGGAAGCATAGCGTTGAGATGGCACTTGATGATGGATGGGATCTGTGTGGGGCACACTGGGAAGGGCACCAGGAATACCACTGTTACTGAGAGGATGCATTGCCTGCCTTCATTGCAAAGGTTTGACTGCAAATTTGTCCTCCTAAGGAGGGTCAGCAGTAGCAGCAAGTCCTTGACCTGGTGGTGACAGCCCCCAGTGCAGCAGAGGGAGGTGTAGGCAGATCCTAAGATTTATTCCCAGGACTGCTACTGCCATGCTGCACAGATGGGAAGAAATCGTTTAACCTCTCTGCCTTCATTCTGCTGTTGTAAAATGATTACCCTCAGACTGATGCTGTAGGAGTAGTCTCAGGTGTCATGATGTGGTCAAGAAAAAGTGCACTCGGATGCTAAAAATACTTCTGATATGTGTCAATGTCAAGATTTCCTGCGGATTGCTGCTAGATTCCGTCCTTCTTCCTCTTTTTGCTTAGAAATAGACAGAAAAAGGATGCTCTTGGTGTAATGCAATGGAAAGCACAGCAATGACATGAGAGTAGCAAGGTCCTAGGCTGCAGCAAGTAAGAATTTGCTCAAATACAACAGCCACAGAAATAAAGGGAAGAAGCTGCTTACCTTCAGAAGGCCTCAGGATGCGCAGGGATCTCCAGCAAAATACTCTCACCTCCCTTGTCAACACTTAAATGAGGTCTGGGAAAGAGCTTCCTCTCCACCTTCCAATCAATCAGGTACATCTCATACACCTGAGCTCCCCTGGGTTGGCCCTGCCTTCCCACCAGGTGCTCAATTACTCTTTCAAGCCATGACTTAGCATTTCTGCTATGTTTTGGCTGTTGCTGGCTATAGATACAAGGTGCTGTGCTGCAAAGCATGCCTATGTGTGGCTGTTTCTGGAGCTGCCCATCTGAGCCCATTCCTCCAGAATTTCTTCAGTGTATACAAGACACAAATCAGCACAATAAGCAGCAGTCTCCTAAATTATACTGGACCAACTGAAATCACCACTCCTTGCCACCAAAAGCATGTGCCTTGCTGTCTGATGCATTCGTGGCTTAACCAACAGTGTGGCTGTGGAGGTGTATCGAGCTATCAGTGGAAGTGCTCCTGCCTTGGCTGGTAGGAAGGGCTGACAGAATGAACCCAAATGTCAGGGAGAATTCAGGCCTGCATGCTTTGCTCTGCACTCACTGTGAGGCAGGAGCATGCAAAGGTAACTGCAGTGAAACAAGCACACTTGGGGACATCATGCTTTGCTCAGGCTTTTCCTGCACACACTCCTGCCCTGACTCTCTGCAGGCTTTTCTTCTGCTGTTTCCTTCAGTGTCAACATATTCAAAGCAAGGACTTTCTTCTTGGTGTTTACAGCAACTCAGAAGTGGAAATGAGCAAAACTTTAGGATGAAAGCTGTTCATAAGGCACGTTTTAAATTTTTTAATTTAACTATCTAATGACCTAATTTCTGATTTCTTCACCCAGATGTACATTTTTTGTTCCCACTTTTAAATGACAGTTCTTACAAAACTCACAGTCTGTGCGTCCTTTAAATATTAATAGCAAAATACCTCAACACAAGAAATGAAAAACTACTCTCAGAGGAATAGAAGGGACCATTTTAGTTCATGGATATCTCAGCCGGCTTCTCCTCACTGCTTCTGCTCCTGCCATCAGAAATTCAAAATGCACCAAATTCTACACAAATTGAGCACAGACATTCTGAGGACCAGTGGATGCTCTCATCCTGTGTGGGAGAGAGTAGCACAGCCCAGCAAGCCAACAAGTAAACACCATTTTAAAGGTGAAAAGTAGCGATTCC